TGGTAGTTTCTATCCTCGTGTCTGATGGTAGTTTATATCCTGTCTGTTGGTAGTTTCTATCCTCGTGTCTGATGGTAGTTTATATCCTGTCTGCTGGTAGTTTCTATCCTCGTGTCTGATGGTAGTTTCTATCCTCGTGTCTGATGGTAGTTTATATCCTGTCTGTTGGTAGTTTCTATCCTCGTGTCTGATGGTAGTTTATATCCTGTCTGCTGGTAGTTTATATCCTGTCTGCTGGTAGTTTATATCCTCGTGTCTGCTGGTAGTTTATATCCTCGTGTCTGCTGGTAGTTTCTATCCTGTCTGCTGGTAGTTTCTATCCTGTCTGCTGGTAGTTTCTATCCTGTCTGCTGGTAGTAACTGAGAGTCATACACAACATTTACCCTGAGCACTATCACATCTCGCAGTGGGATCTGATGACATCACTTCTAGTTATTTAGTTTTGACCCAAACACAACTCTGTCGTTTCCCAACATTACATGATTTTGTAGAAAAGTCTGGTATGAAAGCTGGCAGGTGATAGGCATGCTACTGAAACAAAAGTTCTAAACAAAGAGGGGGGAAATAATAAACCAAGATTCATCACTGTTCATCGCTGTTATCCAGTTATATATTAAGATAAAGTGTAACAAAGTCTGAAATGCGACATTCTCCAACTGATCATTAAATTTGTTTCTGATATTTGTTGTAATAAATGTTGTGTTTACTTCAGCCACAGACATTAATTGCTAAAAATAATTATGAAACTTAACCTCTTGAATCTTGCTGTTCAGGACATTTGTTTTAGACTTGGTGTCTTTATTCAGGGAGACTACATTTTAGATTTGATCATTACTGTAATTTTAAATCAAATGTATATTTATATTTTTAATTGTTAGTTTAAGGGTTATTAGTAGGGTTTAAAAATACTTTTTGGAAGTAGAAGTATCAACTCAAGCTTTACTCAAGTAAAAGTTTAAAAGTACTGGTTTTAAAACTACTTAAATTATAAAAGTAAAAGTAATGAACACTTAAAAAAGCCCTTAAGGATAAAAGCTTTGTGGACTTGGAGAAGGCATTTGACCATGTCCCTCGAGGACTCCTGTGGGGGGTGCTCTGGGAGTATGGGGTACCAGGCCCATTGTTACAGGCTGTTAGGTCCCTGTATGACCGGTGCCAGAGCCTGGTCCGCATTACCGGTAGTGAGTCGGACTCGTTTCTGGTGAGAGTTGGACTCTACCAAGGTTGTCCTTTGTCACTGATTCTGTTCATAACTTTTATGGACAGAATTTCTAGGAGCAGCCAAGGTGTTGAGGGGATCCTTTTTGGTTACCTTAGGATCACATCTGTGCTTTTTGTGGATGATGTGGTCCTACTGGCTTCATCAGATTCTGATCTAGAGCACTCACTGGAGCGGTTCACAGATGGGATCAGTGCCCCCAAATCCCAGACCATGGTCTTGAGCCAGAAAATGGTAGTGTGCCGCCTCCAGGACGGGGAGGAGGTCCTGTTCCAAGTGGAGGAGTTCAAGTACCTCAGGGTCTTGTTCATGAATGAGGGAAGAATAGAGCGGGAGATCAACAGGTGGATTGGTGCTGCATCTGCAGTGATGTTGGTGTTGTACGGGTCTGTTGTGGTGAAGAGAGAGCTGAACCAGAAGGTACATTTCTCAGTTTACCAGTCGGTCTACGTTCCTACCCTCATCTATGGTCAGGAGCTTTGGGTAGTGACTGAAAGAAGGAGATCAC